AACTAAATAATATTATCCTATTACTTAGTGCTGCCACGCTGCGGTGGTCCCTCCACGCGGGGGATAGATTAACCCCCAAAATTACGTGCAGGGTGGCGCCCTCGGCGGTCATACTGGGCGCCATGTTTGGCGCGGGCAGTGCGTGAAAACACGAGGCCATTGCGGTCCGCGGTGTTTTTTACGCGTACCACTAATCGTAAAACGGTAGCTAATGCGTACGCTATCCAGAAACCACCGCAGCGACCCGACACCTGTCCAGCATCCACATCCATGCTACAGCACAATCCATGTAGGGGCTCCTATGCATGCGGCAAATTCATAATATACTAATTCCAATAACCTGACAGCCGAGGCTCGTAGCAGTACGAGAAGTTACGTCTGAGAAGGTCTTTGGTTCGAATCGCCATCTGTTTATTTTTATTTTTTTGCTATTTTATCGCATTTAACTATTTATTTTTCAATTAACGAAATATTTACATATTTTTTACCAGCATTTAATTTAAAAAAATTTATTAGTGTTAATTTAATTTCAATTTAGGGTAGGGTTAGGGTTAGTCAGAACACGGGTCGCTGCGGTGGTTTCTGGATACGCCTACGCATTAGTACGCGATTTTACGCATTAGTGGTACGGTAAAAAACACGCATGCGCGTCGTGTCCTCTAGGAGGACATACAACACTAACTCCGCAAATTGTTTGCACTATTTTCGTTTCTCAAAGAAATGGGCTTTTTTTGGCAATTTTTTTTCGCCGAAATTCGGCAGCTAGAGTGCAATACATTTGCAATTATGCAAGCGCGAGGCTGGCAAAAGTTGCGAGCGGAGCATAGAGAATGAATCTGTAGTTATTTTACCATGAATAAAGTGTATGTTATGTAATGCGAAGTAACAGCGTGAGTATTTTTAATTAATTTCTGTTCGATGCTTATTCAGGCCTGCCGCCTATGGACGCCCTCTACTGTTATTCACCACCTCTAATCAGGTTTGTCTAATCACTTTCGAGCTGTTTTCGTCGGTCGCCGTGGTAACGCAACGGTGGCGGCAAACGAGCGTGAATAACTGTTGTTGTTTTTGGTGAAGGACGGTATAGATCATTGGAGACTTTTGCGATCTTGTATATCATTCACTCGAGTATTAAAGCGAGGATTTCACATGTTTTTCCAACCGTTCTCGTATTTTCTCGACGGTTCCGATACTTATCGATACTCCTTGCATAACACCAAGTAAGGCTAGCGTGTCAAAGGTAACTCGCACGTCATTCTGTCCACCAATATGTGCACCGATCAGCAAATTAGATTTGCTTACACGTGTCAGCAAAACGAGTTTTTTTTTTGGCTCTCGAGATGCTATTGACCGGAACGCTATCTGTATCCACACTAGGTTAAGTACCTTTATACATAATATTACCGTTCAAATAAACAAAACCACTCGTTTCCTGGCACGAGCGAGAAAGAGAGAGATAGAGAGAGAAAAAGAAGAGAGAGAGAGAGGGGAGAGGAGGGGG